CTAAAAGTGTCACGTAGTATGGGTACGTTCGCTTATATAGTTATGCTTATGTTTTTTTTAACCAAAACTTTAATTAACGTTTATAAAACCTGGTGCACCGACTCCACGTGTGGGACAAGGACAAGATGACAGTGATAGTAATGAAAGAGATAGATATATTTTTGTATGTCTATTTCAACTATGGAAACCCACGGATGTTTTAACCAGAACTCAAGTTATCCTAAAAACATCGCCTCTATAAAAACTTACTTTATCATTTTCAATAAATAATTCTTCGTATAAAGTTGTTTATTGTTTTTAATACAATTGTAATATTATTTATTCATAAAGAGAATTAAACATCTATATATTTTCCGTAGTTGCATTACACGAACGTGGCTCTGAAAATGATTGCAAAATATTTAATTTTTTTTCACATATGGTCACTCAGTAAGTTAATATAACGTAAATAGTTTTATCGTAAATACATAACAACATATGATAAATGAATCAATTTATTAATAAAAACACACATTTACAAGTTAAATTAATCGACAATATTTCTACCTAAATTTATCCACGTTAGAACATGCGTTAATAAACACGTTATTAATATAAAAAGAAGTTGGAAAAGTTAAACATAGAGATAAATTAATATTGTAACGCACTTTTGTACATATGGCACAAAAAGAACAATTAGCCAGCAAAAAAAAAAGAATGTATTATACTTCAAGTACTCTGTAAATTCTGTATTACTACCAAATACATTTAGACTTAGTCTAATTAAACATTTGCTTTAACCCTTTGACCGCCGCCGTTGATTGTGAGTTGGTTATGAGTACAAGATGAGAGTAAATTTTATCCTTAAATATGTTTATCTCCAAAACTGTTTCATGCATTTCTTTATTTATTTGTCAAGATCGCGATAATCATATTTCAATAATAGATTTCTGGTAATATCTAATATCAGCGAGCGTTAAAGGGTTGACATATGTAAAAGCACTATTTAAGTTTTAAGGCCCTAAGTCTTACCTCTTTTAATCGGTGTTACTGTAAAACAAAGAAAACGGATTGTATTAAAAAAATATATACGACTAGAATAACCGAATACAATGCAACAACAAACATGTAGTGCTGATCCAAACTCTTTACTTAACGCTAAGAAATAATTTGATCACTAGTGTCGAGAATTCTTTAAAATACCTACTATGCATATGGGGGCGCAGCAGCGCCTTTACTAAGGCAAGCGGGGCCGCACTTCCTTATAATATAGTACATATATTTATTAACAGGGTAATACTAACTATTGCATTGTTCGTAAGGTACGCAGACGTTGTTTTTACGCCAGTGGTGGTAGGCGCAGCGGCATTGTGGCCTGCACTGCGTCACGATGCCGATTCGGCCCACAATTGGGCATCGGCCTGATGGCGTAGCTTGGCTACAGTCGTCACTGGGACATTGCGGTGGGCATGCGTCGAATATCTCATTGTGCCCACACGCAATGGGAGCTGCAAACAGTTATTCTTTGAAACTCCCATACTCTAAAGCTAGATTAATAAAAGCTAAGTAAAAATGTCAACGTATCTCATGTTAAAACAGAAAATGTGATAGCCAGTTATTTCGCTTCAACATTATTTGTCACAAAACCTAGGCTAACTAGTTTAGCCTTTGAAAGTACTGCTACTAATCGTTGATTTCTAAGACCAAAATTCAAAAAGAGAAGTGCCAGAATCGTGGCATTTAGAAATTCTTATTCTAAGAGCATGATTGTTATAAAGTATGTACGTAGTTCAAATATAGTAATTACGGCAAGAATGTGTAGGAATGCACCTCCCCCGTCGGTCGCGGCTGTAGTTGAATCTGCAAACGCATTTTGGGGGCAGTTTGATGTGGCTAGGAGTGATGCAGGCCTCACGCAGCGCCTTTGCATTTCGGGGACAGACGCGGTCGGCGCATGGCGTCGGGTTCATCACAAGGACTTCATTCTTACGACACCTCAGTTTAGCTGTGACAAAAATTAAATTTTTACAATATTGAAACAATTCATGGGTTTGTAATTATTTCGCATATTTATGGAACTATATAATACTTAATTGTTAGCTTCAGTACATCTTAGTACACCATTTTATTTTATTTTATATCATAAGGTGACAAAGCAGCGAACGGCCACCTGAAATCGCTGAAATACCGAAGCGACCGCTGCCCATAGATATACGCAATTGCATATGCGTTGCCTACCTTTAATCTCCGAAGCAGAGGATGCACAGAAAGAAAATATTTTCCCTTTCCATGGATCCTTTCATCCGGAAAGTCCACTTGCACTTCCTATGCTTTCCTTATAAAAAAAGGGTGGGAAGGAAAAGAGGACTAAATGAGGCCTCCGGGACGCACACTCATCAGACGAAACGCGGAATTGCTTCCACTTCACTCCTGTCCTCTGTGTGGTCAAAGTCGCTCATTTTAAAATATTTCCCTTCAAGAAGAGACCACAAAGTTACCAGACTTATCAAAAAACATGATTATATTTGTCGCTTTCCAGTTTCAAACGTTGTCAATTTTCAATTGTTTTGAAGAACACTTTGCCGTCTATTATTAATTTAAAAAAAAATTAAATAGTTACATTTAACTTGATATTACCTGAAGTTATTGCAGTGTGTAATAACAGACAGATTGAAAGAATTAAAAAGCAATTATGAAGCAGCATTTTCTAGAAACGTTATCACAAGTTTTATCCTTTCTTATATAGCTTCTCGTACGTCATACATTGCAATTAAATGTATGAAACGTGTTGTTTTGCACGATTTATTATTTTAAAATTGATAAGAAATATTATTAAACATATAGAGATGGTCATTTAATCTATTTTACGATGTTTTTTTCCGATAGCTGATGGCCTAGTAATAATAATTTTCTTTTAGGAATTCTTCTATTTTATACAATATCTGAATTATTTGACACGAACTGTTTCTGCACGTTTGAGTATCAACATTTAGGAGAGAGGTACATATTTAGTATGCTTTGTTACGGCAGTGATTTCTATCCTTTCTTAAGAACTAAAACCTAATAATTACCGACTGATACATGTAATTTAATTTAAAGTCTAATGAAACCAGACAATAACATAGTAAGTACTCTTAGAAATACGTCGAAACTAACTCAGATTTCAACTCGATGAGCGCCTACAATTTTATTACTAGTGTTTCTGCTAGATTAAGATTTTGTCATTTAAATATGTATGTAAAGTTTAATTAAAGTGAATATTCAGGAAATCAAATTGTTTTAAGAAATGAAAATTTTAAGAATATGAAAACCTTAAATAATAATACAAGTATAATTTGAAATGTTTTATTTAATTTCATCGAAGTGTTTCTAGTGCAGTTAACCTAGAATATATCAATGTTATGTAGGACAAGGTATGTACTGACCTTCTTTCAGGAGATACGATAGTTGAACATCCTGTTACATTATCATTTTAGGTTATAATATTGTATTTTACAATGAAAAGAATAAACTGTCTTCAAATTGTGACATTGAAGTTGACTTGTCGAAGTTATATTCTCTCAGAAATTGAAATAGGAAAACTTATTTCTATCCTTTTTATTTGTTTAATATTCACTATTTATTTCATACACAAATTAATCAGAAACATATACTATTTAAGATTTATTAAAACAAACATTTACATAGATTAAACATTTAAAAATAAAAGAACATCAATTAAAAAAAATGTGTTTTTAATTTAAAAACTTGAAGGAACAAAAAACAGGAACTTATAGGTCAAATGGAACTTAGTAGAATTAAACATGGTATTATACTATTTTTACACACTGCATTTTTTTTAAATTACTGTGAAATAGATTTATCTTTATTGACTAAGCATTGTTGGTAGGGTACACAGACACCGTCCTTCCTCCAATATGTCGGTTGGCATCGACAAGTCGGTAGACATTCAACGACAATTAAGAATAATCCAAATAAAGGGCATTCGCCGTTCGGCGTTGCCTGACTGCAGTCGTCTGTAGGGCAGTAACCAGGACAGGGATCGTATTCTTCGTTTTCATTAGAACAATCGAATGCAGCTGTGAAAAAAAGAAAATTATTAACATCCTACTATCTGACTAATATTATAAATGCGAATGTTTGGATGGATTGATGTTTGTTGGAACCACCGGAACGGCGCAACGGATCTCGCTGTAATTAGGCATAGAACATAGTCTGGAAGAACACATAACCCTTTTTTGATACCGCGCGGACGGACAGCTTAGTATCTGAATTTTGATTAAAAAAAACAATAGAATTCAAAGTAAAGTTTGGATACTATAATAGTATATTTATCTGTAAATTTTTTATCATTAAATTAACTATATAGTCACACATAATTTACAGTACATATAATTTTCACATATACATATTTTCCGTGTTGACTGAACGTGTTGTCACGGTGGGCTGATAGATAATTGATTCGTTTTCTATATCTGACGTAAAAAGGTAACAATTTATTTCATTCAAACTATGATACCAGTAAACAAATCATACCATGGGGAAATTCTAGGCATGTTCGGTGATTAATTGGTCTTTAGACGCAATTAAAAACTACTTATAAATTTAGTAATATTACAAATGCACATGTTTGGATATACGGATTCATGTTACAAGGTATCTCCAGAACGGCTGTACGGATCTCTCTGAAATTTGGCATAAATGTAGAACATATGAAAGTAATTAATTTTATCTAATTCCTCGCCGACGGAGTCGCGTGCGACGGCTAGTTATTTCATATTCTAAAATATAATGGTGGTCCAAAAAAACCATTTGAATCAAATTGTAAATTACATCAGCAAAAAAGAAGTGTGATAAATCACAATTTATCGTACGTCCGTCGTAAAGTAAAAAATAACTGTTAACTATTGCGTGATTGACAGGAAGGTTATGTTTTTCACGGTTCTAATAGTGTTTGTATATCTTACTGGCTGTTGTCCGCGACTCAGTCCGCGCGGAAATGAATAAAACCAAATAAATACCCTATGTATTCTTTCAGACTATGTTCTACATTTGTGCCAAATGTCATCACGATTTAGTCTTTCCAGAGATAAATTCTAATAAACATCCATCCATCTAAACTTTCGCACTTATGATATTATTAAGATTAATATTATAAATGCGATGGTATGATGGTATGGATGGACGGATGTAGAACACAATCTGAAAGAACACATAGGCTACCAATTAAGTACCTATTTTTTAACTCAAAGCAGACGGAGTCGCGGGGCGACAACTATTATATTTATATATTTTGGTTTTATTAATTCGGAAATGGATGGTGACGGTTTATTGTATAATACTATTTTCGAAGTTAAGTACTACAGAATACTTACGGCATTCTCTCGCTGGTATGCAGGTTCCATTCTCAGCTCGTCTGTAGTTAAACTGACATACACATTTCGGAGGTGGGCAATGTTGTCTGTTCGGACGTCTGCAGTTGTTGAACTCTCCACTCCTTGTTGGACAAGCGTCCGAGCAGTTTGAGGGACAACGATTCAATTCCTCATTAGGACCGCATGTTACTACCGCTGTTGATATTATAAAAAGTTTCTTTTAATTTCACTTTATAACATAAAAGTGATTGTTTGTTTTTAATTCTTAAAATATAAGCGTCACAATCCTAACAATCAGGGTTCGATGACCTTTATTTGACTATTGTCATGAACCATATGGTTTTCGACCTAATGGTGAATTTTCACTAATCAAAAATATTTAAGACAAAAAAACATAATATAAATAAGTATAAGTGAATTTAATCTTGTAAATATTTATGAAATGCCACAAAAGCAAATAACAAGAAAGTTGTGACAATATTGTTTCCTCTAAAAACTGTAAAGTCATTATAAATTATCATGAATTTAATTACCTGCGTATGCCGTGTAAATAAAAACAACTCCAACCACTAATAATATCTTCAACATTTTGCTAAATTAAAAAAAAACACTACGTTCGAAACAAATGAATATCGTGTATATTTCTAGTCACCAAAAAGTCCAAAAGAAACAAACAAAATAACCAATAAATTGTTTAAATTAAGAATAAACAATTCGTGAACTGTCTGGTAGAAAATCGCGATGTGTATTGACAAAAATTAAAGCTGCGGCTTGTATTTGTATATGATTTAAGCGGTAAGGGATTCCCTCGTTCCTAATACTGACGTAGTCAATACGGTAGTTTCACTGACGATACGATTTGGAACGCTTCTGGGGGAATGGGACTTAGTGTACTTGTGCCAAAAAACATACTTCAACGACTTAGTTATTTTTAATAAATCACGATTGTTATTAAAACTAAACTTACTTCGCGTTTCCATTGCACTAATATTTATAAAAACATCGTCGAAATGGAATATTTTCGTCAAAAATGCAGAAAGAACAGACACTGAAAATAGATTTGCATTTTCATGTTGTTACGATAAACAATTGAAGCTTAGAGTTTCCTAATTGACGTAAATTATATTTTACTAATGATAACAATTATTAACAATAGGTTTCTAAGATCAAAATTTCTGTATTCTTTGACAAAACACAGATAATGATACGTTTTTAACGGGAATTTCAGTCTGTGAAACCCACATTAATTATATAATATGCATTGAATAAATATGTTTATGTAAAATAGTACAATAAACATATACATAACAGTGCCACTCATCCTGATGAAGGGCCCCCGATGGGCTCGAAACTAGTCGGTGCCGCCACCGGACTATCAGTTTAATATAATGTCTCACGAAAGTTTGAATAATTTAATATATATAATTGTGTTATCTTCCGCAAAATATTATTATCAGCCTGAACAAAATACAGCCGACGTAATGCAGAAAAATATAATTTATTTCTTTATTGAAAAAAGCCAATTTAAGGGAACGAATTGATAAGAAATTGGATGATTATTTTTAATATAGTTTGTGTAATGTTGGCATAGAACTTATACGTTATTATTTCTCTTTTATCCTTGAAATATTTCTATTATCTTAATGTATGTTTTTTAAATAAATTGTTTGTAGTTTTTTTTGTTATGTCTCGCATACTACATGCTGCTGAGCATGTCACATCTTATTATTAAAAACCAATGACACGTTCACATCTATTACATAAATGGAATTACAGCTATTAGATACATTCTTATCCTGTTATTCTGTTTATTCAAAATTCCTTACTTGTTATCTATATTTTAAAATGTTATGTTCGCTTATAAAATTGATGATTTAATTGCGTCATACTATGACTATTAAGAGAAGAGTCTTGTTAGCTAATAAGTGTAGGTACTTAGTTAATAAGTTTAAAAAATCTTAGGAATTGAAAGTATAAGTAGCTCATAAGTTTATTAATATGTCTACAAATTTGGATGTCATTACATTACAGAGGTTATAAAATTTTCATCAAATCATATCACTATTATATTAATTGATACGCAAACAAAAAAATCGTATTAAAAATAAACATGTTCCAACCAAAAAACTACGCCAATGAAAAGTATTCCATAATAAACTTGTAAATGACGGCGAATCACATTTCAAGCAGAATCTCAACGAACTCTAAAACTGGTTATTTACGGTTACTGGCCAGTTGTGACGTCAGTAATTCCATGACATATGGTTTTTGACGTATTCTCCATATGTGCTCTAACATCTGGTTTTCCTGAATGATTATGATGATGGAAGATTTCAATTTTTATATGTATACTAGCTGTCGCCCGCGGCTCCGTCTGCGCGGGATTTAAAATATATGTTGGCCGATTCTCAGAGCGACTCAATATGCTCACAAAATTTCATGAGAATCGGTCAAGCCGTTTCGGAGGAGTATGGGAACGAAAATTGTGACACGATAATTTTATATATAAGATTAGAAGGACCTAATATATTCTTCTGTTTCAATTTTTCTATATTAATCCTAAGCTGATATAAAAAAAACAAGCAACTATTATCAGTAATACTTACTTATATTATAAATACGAAAGTTTAGATGGATGGATGTTTGTTTGAAGGTATCTCCAGAACGGCTGAACTTTCGCACACATATAGAACATAAGAAGAAGTGGAAGAACACATAGGCTACTATGTTTTTTTAATTCCGTGCCTATGGAGTCGGGGGCGACAGCTAGATGTTTTATATTTTTTACATACAACTAGTTCTACTATCTGGCCAGTAGTAAAGAAAAATAGTCTAATTAAAAAATGCTTAAATATAAAGTGATATTTATAAGTATTAATGTTTATATTGATTTACCATTACATCACTAAACGCGCATTTCACATTGACCTTCAGGATTGCACGTTCGACAAGGTTAGACATGTCATTTCTGTGTCCGGCAATGGCCTATCAGACGTTTAGTTTTATTATTAACTATTATACATTACTGCAAAAACTTCAAAGCAGCTGTTAAGTTAACTTTCCTGATTTAGTTTGATCAACAATTAAATGTTATTTTAATATTATAATATTAATATGAACAATTCTTTCTCGTGGAATATTTTTGGAAAACCAAAATATAGAATCCGCCATCTATGGAACATAGGAACAAACAAATATTTTACTTTGTTAGGCTTGGAATGTGATTTTCATCACAACCGATAGATGGCGCCATAAAGATATGCTAAAAAGTTGAATACATTTTTAAGATGTGATGTTTAATAATATTGTTTATTATATAATACTAGTTGTCGCCCGCGACTCCGACCGCATGGAATGTAGAAAAAACCTAAATAGTTCCCGGAAATTATTCGAATTTTTCTCACCTATTAAACCTTCACTTGACCTCTACGAACATTTCAAAACAAGATAAGGTAAATCTGTTCAGCCGTTCTCGAGTTTCAGCGAGACTAACGAACATCAATTGATTTTTATATATATAAGACAATGTCTTCCTATATCTTAGTCTCTTTTTATTACTACTACTATCAGCTCCATATCTGCAAAATATATCCCTTCCTCATCCATCCCTCCTGCACTACTATACAAGTTTATTTACTTTCTCTCTGCTCAGAAAGGTCCAAAATGGGGCGAACAATATCCGGTCAATTCGCTTCGAAACGGATATATTCCAAAAGTTCGGACTGAAAAAAGTCTGGTTTCAGCAATCTAAGCGCTAAATTTCTGACGAGAGGACGTTAGTTCAAGCGAATCATGCATAATTCTCACTCTAGAAAATTTCACTATTATTTTTCTACTTTACTTTGTTTTTTCAATATTAAAAACAGTGAATGATTAATTTCAATAAATTAAAAAACTTTATGAAAAGATTTAAAGATAAAATGCTTATTGTTTTCATTTAATAAAAATTGATGCATATTCAAACATGAACTCTACTTAAGTTAGTTTGTACCAGTGTTTTCTAGAAACACAGATTCCACAAAGGTCTGTGGCAAACTTCCAAATAAAGTTTGTGCGCAATAGTCTTACTTGCACAAGTGTAAACGAAGACAATCTGATACAACATTGTGAAATAAATGAATTTATAGTTGGCCTAGATATCCCGGGCTTATTAATTAAATGATAACTATATAACAACGCTATGAAAACAAAACATCTTTGCTCGCCTTTCCCAGTAGGTCGATAGAAAATACAATGAAAATCTTTCGGATCGTAAAACTTAATGTAACAAAGCTTTGAATTGAAACGGTCTTATTACTAAGTAGAAAGTCTCACTTAAGATTTCATTAATCGATAAATTATTTTTTATAATATTAGGTGACAGTGAGCTAGCGGCCAGCTGCAATCCCCGAAATAGCGAAACAACCGCTGCCCAAAAGCATCTGATATTGCAGATGCGTTGTCTACCTTTATCGACTTAGGAGGAAAAGATAATATTTCCCCTTCCTATCCATTACCTCCTCCATCAAATCTACCTCCCCTTCCCACCCTTTCGTTATTAGATAAGGGTGGAAAGAGAAAGAAGACTAAGCTAGGCGAAAGTTAAATAACATAACGTCTCAATCCTAATTAATTTAAGTATCGTCTTTATGTTATTAAATTTAATTCTCAAAGCCAACGTCAGATAACAACTACAGTAATTTCCGACTTCATTGAGTGTTTTACGTGATTAAAGACTCCATTCGTTTTGACGTAATGTACATTTTTATTTACGCACATCTACTAACAAGAAATAATAAAGAGTTCAAAAACACAATAGGTCTATGTGTACACAGCTTTTCTACGCCATATTTGTTCTGCTATTTGCAATAATGTGGGTCTTCAAACTTCAGTATAATTTTGATATTCAAAAGAATTGCTGTACGTAAAAATGTACAGTAAATTCGTTGTGTTTTATACGCTAGTGTTTTATTTAAAATCCGCATGTGAGTAATAAATATTCCATTAAATCGTTCAAACGACTTAAAAACAATTAGAGATAATGTTAGTCAATTTTTTGGCTAAATGTGATTTAATTACTCCATTTTCAAATTACAATTGTTTCAGTGTCTGGTGTTAACATTGACAATGGTTTAAATCTTAGGAACACACAACAAATGTATTTGAATAACCAAAATAAGCAAAATGGCCAGAATACAAATAGACCTTTGGATCTATCCCGTGCTGCTAGAAATAATCACCAGGAAGAAATTTTACGTGAACAGCATCAGAATATAAAAGTTCCATCTGTTAACCCATTATTTCGACAACCAATAAGTAAAATTCGAAATCAATTTCCAAATGAACATGTATTATTACCAAATAAAAGGGTTGACAATATTTATAATACTGGAAATCAATTCGCAGTGACTTCGACAAGGAATGATAACGAATTTAAAAACAATATAGTACATCCACAACAAAATAATTTGAAGCGAGAAGACAATGGACAAAGTAATCACCCAGAGAACTTTAACGTGATACCTGTTAGGCCTACAGTAGAACATAAAAATATAGTAAGATCTACAACAGGTCTATTTGAAAACAAAAATAGGAAAATTTTAATGCCCTCAACGATACAGCCTGTGTCCAGAGTACCAGATATTGACGTTAACAATGCACTTTTAAATAAATTAACGCCCCAAAGAAATAACATCCAAAGATCTGTTACAAACGATGCCTTTGACCGTCAAAAACCAATGATTAATCACCAAAATGTATATAGTCATCAAGGTACGTACAGCAAGACTAGAAATTTAAAACATAGTATTTAAAGTGTTGTAAAATTATCTATCGAAACATATTTAATACATTAATAATCAATGTCATATTATATATTTTCCAGAAAATATACAGCCACATCGAACGTTACAGAATCCCAGAAATAATATACAAACAAGTCATTCCCCTCAACATAAACGTTTTGCTGTAATTCACGACAATGGATCCGTCGAATATTTTGATAACTTAGAAATTATTATAAGAAAGTATCCCCATGTAAGGATGGCAGAAAATATTCGCAACCTAATTCCAAATCTAAATCCTAATACTCCTCTATCCAAACCCTTGGCACATAACTCTGATTCCAATGCAAATATAAAAAACAATCTGCCGTTAGGACAACATCAAAATCTACCAAATAAAAATGTACCACCGAAAACGCACACATTAAAAAACACTGTAAAACCAAAAATAGAAACTATTATCAAGAAGAAAGATATTACAGTAATGAACAAATCAAATGATAATTCTGGAACACTGCAGACAACGATATTACCAACTAAACTAGATAATAAAAAATCAGAGCACCTTAAATCTTTAACCAAGGAATCTATGAAACCTTCAAATAATACTCGAATTGCACCAATGAATTTGCAGGAAAATAAAAAGGAGAATATCGTAAGGAATGTAACAACGGCTGAAAATTCAATAAATATTGTTCCAAAGCAATCCAGTGATGTTTCTAGCAAGAACAAAACAACGCCGCTTGATGGTAATAAGCAAAAACCACCAATTGATGTGATATTAAACAATGATCAAACAATACCATATCAAGAAAATAAAATTAACGTTTCACCAGTGATTTCCAATAATAACAATGAACATTCTGAAAATGTAACTAAACTTGAAAAAGAGGATTTACATTTAAACAATTCTGAAGAAGTAATATCTCCTATAGTTGTACAAAGTAAAACTAACAACAGCACTGTTCATACACAGGAAAATAAACCAGAAATTTTAAAAATATCTTCTTCTAATAATGGCACGGTAGATAAAAGTAATGAAACACAATTTAATTGTACGAAACAAAATAGAGTTAAAAACAAGATAAAAACACAAAACCTTACTGTAATAAACCAGAAAGACAATAAGGAAACGGATGACGATTATGATGAAGGTTAATTTAGTTCTTTCATAATTTCCTAGCCTTGCAATTTTTACAGTTGCAACTTAATTATAAAAATTAATCTTGAGTTCAGATAGCAAAGAAATTAATTATTATTTAATTACGTTTAATTTTATTCAAAGATAATTTCAGATTTGGTGTCCCTTGGCGAGCCACTAATGTGGTTTAGTTCAACAGATCCTGAGTTTTGGAAGAAACTTGTTAGTGTTGATGGAAACCCTAATTTTATTTACATCATCAACGTTCAGTCTCAGCCTAAAATTGAAAAAGACAGAAAAACTATAATACATGCAAATGGAACCACTGTTGAGGAGATAAAAGAAACAATCTGGGATGCAGGAGATGGTAAGCAAGAATCTTATAGTTATTTATTAAGTAGGATTGCCTACGTGACTAGAGACCAAGAGAAATTATCCAATACTTAACGAGAAGTGACTTCTTTAGATAAAAACACCGATATAATATTACTAATGTTATAAATTCAAAAGTTTGTAAATATGGATGTATGTTTGTTAGGAGGTATCTCCTGAACGGTTCAACAGATTTCGATGGAATTTCGCTCAGACGTAAAATAAAGTCTGGAAGAACATAACTAATACTAGCTTAGTTTTTTTAATAGCACGCAGACGGAGTCGCGGGTGACAATTAGTAATGATTATAAAAATGAGTATGGCTATTGAAACACAACTGATTGCATTCATGGTCGTATAGTTAATGATATTTAATCCGTGTCTATAAAGCACTTCAATCTAGAATCTAGAAAGTTTCATGTGCTATTAATAAAACTTTACACATCGTACTAAGATGTCGATGATAAATTTTATTAAAATTAAAATTAATTTCTTTGTAGATGAGCCACCGAAAATTACCAAAACTATAAAAGTGACTCCCGCAAACGATGTTTTGGATGGAACTTAAAGTTAAATCTTTTTTAAAACGGAAATTTATCTCGGATTATTAAAAATTACAATATTCTATTATAATTTATTACAGTAATCTATAAAATATCTGTTAATACTTTTTTTATTAATAAATCTATTAAAATTTTATGGTATTATTATTCCTCATTACCATTACATTGACTACTATAAGTCTGAGCTTGGACATGCACATCGGACAAACTAAATATATGAATTTAGCCGATTAAATTAATCTATATACATATTGATAAAATTGGACTGTCTATATGTAAGGTCACAAAAAATATTACGTGCACAAGATGTATTTGCACAGCTGATAACGAAAAACAAATTTTTAATATTTTTCTGTCTGAATGTCCGCAAGGTCACGTTTCTTCCGGGTGATCTCCGGAATAGCTGGGCCGATTTCGACAGAACTTGGACGGGTTGCTTATGCATGCGGGCATAATGTTTTTTTTTTTTTAATTTAAAAATATTACCAGATTTTTTTGTAAATTTACTTATATTTTTTTTTCCATTCCAACTAAGCTCTAGACTTGTGCTAGGATATGGTTTACGACAATAGTGGAATGGCGGTATTCGAACCACCGACTACGTGGTGGGATATACGTACCCTTAGCCATTGACGCATAGGCTATTGACGCTTTAATTATAGAGTACTTTTTTACTTCTGCGCTGATCTTGTCACGGGTAACTGTTAGTTCATAACGTGTAACGATAGTTTGAATGATTTTATTCCTTTTATTATGTATATAAAAAGATAACAGACAAACATAAACAACAACATAAATGGTTGAAATACGCTAAACAGTTTTTGTTCGTTTGAAATCAGCTCACAAAGCTCTGCTCAGTTATACACGTTATGTGCTGCGCAGTTGGCAAATGTTTCATATAAATATTTATATTACCCAAAACCGCTGAGATGAGTCTGACGCATATATGTTCATAAATATATGTTGTTTAATGCAAAAGAAACATAAACCAGCCAGTGCGTAATGTCAATTAAAGAAGAAAACTTAATTCGAACGGGGGTAGAGCCTGTAATAACTATTGCACGAATAGGCCGAATCGCCTGGTGTATCCATGAGCACAGAAGACGTGAAGTGGAAGGAACTTCGTGTTCCGTCTGGTCAGCGTGGATGCCGCCGTATAAAGAAGGCCTTGTTTCTTCCGAGTAATCTCCACAACAATGGGACCAATTTTGTTAGGACTTGGAGTTGGTAGCTGTAGGTAAACGAGGGCATATTATTGGCAACTTTTTTTCGTGCGGGTGACCACTACTTAAATATATAAAGAATTATGACAGGTAAGACATCATCACCCTCCCTTTTTCATCTCTATCTGATATCACTTCCTGTATGCATACATTATTCGATTAAACCATAATTTTTCCCTACTTTTTTCGGTTTACATAAGTACATATATATTTCAGTAAGTATATCTGATTAATTTGATATAAATATTCGCGCTATTGGTGACTAGCTTAATATTTCTTTAAAATTTATTATACATTTTACGTATTCATTCTATGCATTTAATAGGAGACTTTTTTTTTGTTCGGTGTAAAAAAAATCTGTTATGTGTTTTTGGAGTTATTGGTCTTGAGGTGTGTTTATTGCCTATTGTTTATTCATGGTTTGTTATTCATCTTACATTTATAATCATTGTCATCACTGACTTTTGTGTTGCGAATACTTACTTACAAATTAAAAATGTATGGTAACGTTTGCAACGGTATGTTGAGTCTTAGCGTCTAAATATAGATGTTGTTATCGTTATCCAACATAAGTGTATGTAAAATGTACAGAAAAGTATATAAAGCGAAGTCTGCTCCAGAGTTTGTTAGTCTACATTTATTCTCTCGTGTCGAATGTAAGTTGTAGACTAATTTTATTAAAATTAATTGTCTTAGAACCGAACAAAATAACAACGTAAAGGTTATATACAACGATAAGGTTATGTTGAAAAGACGTGTATTTAATATTCTAATTAAAAATGAACTTTGAAAGTCTTTCCTTGTTTGAGTAGAAGTGTATTTTGCAATTTGTCTAACCCAGTCTTTCCCAAAGTGGGCGATAACGCCCTCTTGTGGGCGCTGCAGTTGCGGGTTATAGTAAAAGTTTCGTTTACAATTCTCCGTTAATCTTTATATACATAATTCTTCTGTGAGTGTGTATGTCACTGAACTTCTCTCAAACGACTGGACCGATTTTGATGAACTTTTTTGTGTGTGTTCAAGGGGATCTGGGAATGGTTTAGATTCACAATTTTCATCAAATATTATATTAATTTATCCAAATTAAAGACGTGTAGACAGGACAACGTCTGTCGAGTCCGCTAGTATACATATATAGGTCACAATAATTAATTAATTTAATTTGAAGTTATAGTGGTTTTTAAATATGTGAAAATATGGGGTCGCTAAAAAATATTTGTTCTCAAAGTTTGCAGTAGTCAAAATAAGTTTGGGAACCACCGGTCTAACCAATCTGTTTCAGTTGTTATAGTCCTAAAAACTTACTTGGCCCGTGGAGAATAGCGTAGTTATTGTGTTAGTTCTCACAAAAAATATGGAAAAAATTACTACGTACTTAAGCATAGAAAATAACATCCAAGCATCACCCAAGTTCCTTTGTTTTAATAGTGAAATGTTGCCTCGACTTTTAACTTTCTCACAAACCGTGGGTTTCCGAGTTCAAAATCTCAATTTAAAACATATTGCTATCTCAATGTTGTGAAAGATAGTGACATAGATAACGATATGATTTAAACAAGAATTTTGGTTTCAGAAACTCGCAGTCAATTATGCCCTTGTATACGATGAATTATTTTCTTAATTACAGATTTGGAGAAAAGTAACAATATGGATTTCATATCTAATATGTTAGCTCCAGTGGGTGCAGCACTTACAGGTTCATCTACTTCTACATCTGAAGGTTCCAACAAGAAAGAGGAGATGACAAAGGCAATCGCAGTGGTAGCAAAGGCTGTTACTGTCAACCCGCTGGTTGTTAAGGCGGTAACAACACCGTCAAAGAACAATTAATGGTATTCGTGAAATAACTATTCTTTTCGTATTACTATCGTCAAAATTTGTGTTTATTTTGTGTATTTTTCACTAACAACTTCAATCACATTTCATATGTTTTGTATATTTTTTAATAAATACTAATTGAAGTTTGGTTTTATTATTAGACTACACAAGGTTTGAATAGCATTCCTTTATTTTTGGCAACTATATATTTTGTTTGATATATAGAAATCTTATGTATAAAATTCTCGTGTCACAATTTTCGTTCCCATACTCCTCCGAAACGGCTTGACCGATTCTCATGAAATTTTGTCAGCATATTGAGTAGGTCTGTGAATCGGCCAACATCTATTTTTAATCCCGCGCAGACGGAGTCGCGGGCGACAGCTAGTGATTACATAACAATATATCACTAGTATCATGTTTACTTAGATTTATTGGCGAATTATTATATTTTCTATCGGCTTGTACTTTTTCCGAAGTACAAGTCACTAGTGAACTTCTTGTAAGATACAATAAGAAGTTATGGCAATCTTACTAATATTATAAATGCGAATGTTTCGATGGATGGATGTTTGTTTGAAGGTATCTTCGGAACGGCTCAACGGAGCTGAAATTTGGCATACATATAGAACATAGTTTGTCTTATTAAGTATTTTTAATTCTGCGCGGACGGAGTCGCGGGCAACAACTATTATTATATAGAAAGATAATTCTCATAGTTTTCTAAACCATAATGAACATTAGTTATTTCTGTATAATCAAGTAAAGGGTTAATTGTTATTGTATAAATACGGTTAAAACAATAAACAGTACATCTGGCGTCCATAGTTTGCTTAATGCAGGCAAAATTGTAGTCTCTGGGGAGTTGTAACAATACGCAAATTCAAGCGAGAAAAATGAATCATGGCGTAGTACCTACGCAAAGAGTTATAGATAAATCCCAGCTCATTTACAAATGGATATATAATATTAATGTCGAGTACAATTAAGACTATCTTAACTAATGATCTGTTACAGATTTCTTCAGATTCTTTCTGTGCATCCTCTCCTCCGTCGATTAAAGGTAGGCAACGCATTTGCAATTGCGTATGTCTGTGGGCAGCGGTCACTTCGCTATTTCAGCGATTTCAGGTGTCCGCTCGCTCGTTTGCCACCTTATGATAAAAAAAAAACAATTTAGAATAGAAAGTTATAGGGTTTCTTAATATTTCATTAGTTCAATATGATATCCATTCAAACACAAATCAAAATGTACTAAGGACTCTTTCAACACGGACTTAAAAATATAGTGACCAATGTCATCTTCTAGACATCTGTGTCAATATTGATCAAGATCCGATTAGCCGTTCCACACTTACCTTCAAAGGAACATACATCAATCCATCCATCCATCTAAACATTCGCATTTATAATATTAGTAAGATATCCAGAAAGAATATATCTTAAAACTTAAAAGTATACATTGGATTAAAAAAAAAATTAAAACGCGTTCTCTGAAAGCAATTAATAAGAACTATTTTGAGGAAATCATTAGAAGAATTTGCAGTATTTTGAAACAAAGGAACGCAATTATAAAACTTTTTCCCAAGCAACGAACAAAAGCTAGTGCAGTGATTATTTCTATACTGCTTATTAAAAACTTGTACACTATTCATATCTTAATAATCTCTTGAATTTTAGTTACAAAATACATTAGTCCTGTATTTAAAATACTAAACTTTATAGTATTTAGCACATTTAAACGTAAGATCAGGTCAATAAAAATGAAAAGGTCAACAAGGAAGTTGACAACTGCTAATCCGTGTAACTTTCTAATATTATAAATACGAATGTTTGGATGGATTAATGGGTGTATTTTAGTAGGCATCTCCAGAACAGCTGAATGGATCTCGCTGAAATCTGTAGTATTCATTGCTACTAATTAAGTTCAATTTTAATTACGGGCGGACGGAGCCGCATGCGATAAATAGTGTTTAATAAA